TCTACTTTCCACAGAGTAATCTTCCAAAAGCAAGAGTCATGAACGACTTTCAATCAGCTTGCGTTCTCCGGGATGTTACAGGGAAATTGAATTGTAGTTTCCTTCAAGTTATATACATCAGTTTCAAATCACCTTTATTATCCCTTATCACCTTAATTACCCTTGTAATACTGTTACAACCACATACCTCTTCATTCTTCACGCTACACTTGTACACAATCACCACAGCTTTACCATATACTTCCGACCACCCTTTAACCATAATCTGTCATAACCTTTAAATCCATTACACCTTAATCTACTCTTTAGACTGCGAAGTCATACAATCTACGTTCGAATCATATCTGCTCAGGATTCCCAATATCTATAACCTACTATTTTACGCAGTGAAAAGTAACTCACTTAAAACTTTGTTGTGTATCGACGTATCTTTAGTTTGTGGTATCCACCAATAACTATGCCAGGACAATGATTCAATCAGCGAAGTAATTGGCTATTATCATAGAGCTTAGTGATTAGGTATTGTCGAAGAGATAATTGGACCACCAAGTGCTATATAATTGGGTTGGTTACTAAATGTAGCCTCGGTCCCAGTACATCCCATGTTTTTAAACTAAGGTTCAATGACATAAAGTTAGTGAAGAAAATGGGCTTTAATTACCAGTGCACTCATAATGTCATTCACAAAAACCTAAACGACTACCTGGGCTTGATAAAATGTGTAAAAGTTTTAATTTTTTGGCAAGACAAAACCTGACCCTACCTGACCTATACAACCTAACATTCATTACCTAACCTTACCTAAACCCAGCCTTATACTATCTTAGCTAACACAACCAGAGCAGTTAACAAACAAACTACCACATAAATACTCCATTGTAAAAGAAATGGAAACTAAAAACTTATACAAAACTTGTGACATTCAATCTGCGTGAACTACAAAATTATAAATTCTAGTAATAAAGTTTATTAGATTTGGTATAGACTTTGTTGGTCGACGTTTAAATATTGTAAATTATAAACAGATATTATTTTTTAGTGACATGAAATACAATTAAAGTAAAAATAATATTTATTTTTAATTTGGTCACGCCATAAAACTTTCAAAACTTAAAAAGGAGGTAGATTACTTAATTTGAATAAAATCAAACGTGTATTTACATTGTTAGAATTTGTTCATGCAATACATATTGTGGTACATTTTAGAAGTACAGTGACAAAGTGAAGTTTAGTTGATAGTACAGTAAGATTACTTGGTCACTGGAGACACGGATAATACTCAAAGTAGATCAAAATGTCGCACAGGAAGCAAACTTTATCAGGAAAACTGGTTCGCTTTCTATGCTAAGCGAAGTGATGTAATGGTTCCGTCTGGTGTCAAAATTCATACTTCTGCGTCCAACCATATCATTCAATACCATTCGGACACGAGGCACGCCTGCCTTACTGGATAACCTAATTATAAAACAGTACCTGGGGCCGAACTATGGCTCCGTGTAGTTTATTTCAATTATAAAAACAATATTAAGGAAACTCACGTTTTATTTACAACTAATTCCGGCTTTCATTATTTCAGTTTTAGTGGAATTTAAATTTATTATGATATAAACTTTAACCAGGAAATCCACAACTCATTAATTATTTATCTTACAGTAGATGGTAAAAATCACTAGTTTATAATAGCCTAGGTACATGAACTTTGTTTTGAAATTTTGTTTAAATTAAAACAGCTGATTACTTTGGAGATTAAGCTTTGGTAGGAGAGCCTATTTTGTAATTTGCAAGTGTACCATGGATGACTTGTTGTTGGAACTAATTTACAGTTTTGTAACTAATTTACAAATATTTCCAAGCAATGTGCAAATAAAAAAACACTACTAATATATCTACAAAACTTGTGTAAACGAGATGAAATAAAATACTCTAGTACATTCATTATGGTATTAATTTGTAAAACTTTCTGGTACCAGTGGATATTTAACCGTTGTTATTAGGTAGTACATTGTTTTATATGGGAAATTCGTTAAACACACAATAAAAATCTACCAGCTGAGAAAATTGGTCAAAACGATTGAGCTATATTGTATTGTCTAAAATAAATATGAAAACATTTAAAATACAAGCGTTATAGCCGTTAATTTAGCCATTAAAAAGTTGGTTCTCGCAGGAATCATTGCGCGACCGCTCAGCATATAAGCAACGCGGCTCCGTAGCGCTAGTGGAGGACCGATGGCCCCAGGTGTCGAAAGCCTTCACTGGCTTAGCGAAAAGCCCTAGGCACAAAAAAATCTACAAAATTAGCTCCAAGCAAAAACTCACAAAAATAGCAGCATGAGTTGAATGAGCATTACACCTCGGGGTCAACATTTGTTCTCCAATTTTTTATTTTGTTTTGTAAATATGTTTTAAAGTGCAGTACTAAACTAGGCCAGTCCGTATCCCCCTCCACTCGGCGCTATAGTGCGTTTCCTAATAATTCGCAATATTGTATATAGTTTTTTATAGGTTTTAACTTATTATCGAACTTATGTTCATGAGTACCCATAGCTCTTGTATTGTTTGTTATAAAGTTTGTAAAAGAATGTAAACCGTGAGTTGTATTTGGTTTTTGTTTCAAAATTGGAATATTGTGAAACCATTCATTTAGTTTCAATTGAGTAGTAATAACATTCATAAAAAACAAATTAAAATTATGTTTATGTAAAAGGTAACTGCCACAATTTTTTGTTTTTACATTTCGTAATCGTCAAAAACTGGAAATAGGTTTAAAGTGAAACGACCACTTTGATACTTTTGTCTTTTAATTTAAGAGCGTTAATTAGAGAATTACAATAAAGAATTAGGCTAATTTAAATATTGCCTACAGGTACCATACAATAACACTGCTGTGTTGGTTGTTTTCGGAACTATCTGTGCCAAAATTGAAATTTATACTTCTTTGTTTCGGAATTCTTACGTCTAATAAAACTTTGAAAATCGTTCAATCAAATAAAATTAAATATTTCACTACATTAGGTATACATAATGATTGCTGTGACCCTGTAAAATGACTAGTGGTATGCATGGAGTTTATATTTCTTGACTCTAAAGGTTAAAGTTGCGAATGTGTCGCATCAACAGAGATTATACATCCATCAGTCATAGCTATATAGCTATAGTAGTGAGCAATGAGTAATGAGCGTCATAGCTATATAGCTATAGTAGTGAGAAATGAGCAATCGCCACTGATGTATCTGTTGAGACAATGATTGATGAAGTTGCTGTATGATTACCTTTACCTAATGTAAATATTGATATGAGAAGTGGAAGTGGATTCTTCCGTGTTAATCAGTAATCATTCACTCACTGATTGCTTGTACATCATTGGACAATTAACCTTAATACTTTATAGGGTGTCAAAAGGTTTATGTATTTTAGATAAGAATAAGACGAGTTAGAACATATTCCTCGGGAAGGTATATTCTTTAACTAATGTTTGTTTCTATAACACTCCGATCAATACTGTAGCATCCTAAGGTATATTTTAGAGCAATTGTACAATTTTTTATTTTTGAATGAATACTCTGGTAAAAAACATTCGATATTCTCACTTCAAAGAAGTTCGGATCGTTTTCACGGTTCTAGTCTGGAACAATAGCTCACTTCTTCAGTGGAAACTTTTGAATCGACTGACTACTTTCTAAAGAAATGCATCTTAGAGCAATAGTATGGAAAAACCTCAGAGGAGAAAATATAAAACATTTTAAAGGTTTAAAGTTCCCAGGTACGAGTTCCTCTTTAAACAGGTTACCGATAAAAACTGTGTTTAAAGCTAAATAGGATTTTATTGGAGTGCATTTACCAGTCATAACTATGTAGCCTTTATTCAAATTGAGAGGTATGGACGCCTAACGCCAAAAACTCATTTTCAGATTACTTTATTTGCATTGTACCAGTAACAATTAACAGTTTGAAGTAAGTCACGAGTAATTTGTATTTTCCTGGAGAAGATCGAATTTAATGGAGTTTGCTGCATTATGTCGCCACCTACTTGAACCAATGATAAGTTGCGGAATGAAGAAATTAGACTCGTGACTCCCCGAGATGACCGAATATAAAACAAATCTTTGTTGGAAAATATAATTTAGGTATGCGTAACCAGTACTGGGGTTTACCAGTAATGAACAATTAAGCCCAGGACTCAACATGTACACATACATAAATAGTTTTAAATAGTCATTTCGGCACCATTAACAAAAATATCTGGACCAAAAATCCTTGATTAGTACACCATTCATTTTTTACACAACTTTTTCACATATTGAGTTTTAGTTTCACTGTACGTGTTATATCATACCTGACATGCTTGTTGTGAATAACCAAAACAAATCATTCAATCTGTAAATCTACGTTGAAATTTTCAAAGTTTTACGAATAGAGTGCACACATCCAGTCAAAATGTTTGCAATACATCTACTATAACTATGATAATATCATTTATATCATTTACATGTCCCCTGATCCTGATTGGACGAAGGACAACGTGGAAAAATATTTTAACCACAACAACTAATTGATGATCAGCTGGCAAACTTCAATCGTCTTGATAGAAAGGTCACTTAAAGATGGTTGTTTCTTTGTATAAATTTTGTTTCCTTTTTTAGGAATACTAAGATTTATCTTAGAGAGTAGCGACGTTATCCCTAAACTAGCCATAGGACGGGATTCGAACCCTTGACCTCGAGGACCGAAGGCAACTCGCTAGAGTTACTTGGTAAACACGATTTGTATCAACAGTAAATATAGAATTTGTGGAAAATTTACACGACACAACTCTTTTGCGGAACATCTTGTCCGACAATGAGATAACGAGGATTAGGTGTAAGATTATCGGCCAGGTTGAAGGTTGGTAGTTACAACAGTTAAGTAACCTGCTTGACCTTGAGTCTTGGGATGGGAGATGGGTGATGCGCGGTACATGGGAAGGTAGAAAGTGGGGAGAGCTTTCACTAACACTAGCGCACCTCTGCACCGCGCCGTAGTACATTCGTGGTCCTTAGTGTGCGCGACTACACATGCGCAGTCTGATCTGGATATACGATCAAGGTAACAATCTTATCTTAAATCTACATCTAAGACAAATTCAGTTTATAGAAGGGAGGGAAATGTGTAAATTTAACTTAGTGAATGATTTAATAGATTTTTTATGTGACAAAAATGTGTATACTGTCCATACATTTCAGAATTTTGCACACTTTATACATTACTAATACTTTACCATTTACACTATCTACAGCTAAGGCGGTAACAATTCATAACAGAAATTAATTATCAAAATATTTCTCTCGATAAAAGAGTTTAAACATGTATAAGCGCTGGTAAAATGTTACATTAAATACCCCCGCCGCAGCAAACCTGCTGACTAAGCGAATTTCCATTTGTCTGAATTGATTTTCAGTTAAATATATTTTAATAACATTAGGTTTAACGAGTACCTAGGTTTGCTGCTACAAGGAAACTAATAAAGTGTGTTTTGAGTAAAATATTGATAGCTTAGTACAAAATAAATAAATTTGCCAAGTTTGATCAAAATATATCCATAAACAAGCAAACTACAAGATTTGACATTATTCTCCATAAGAATAACATGGGAATTTTAAATTTACAATTTTTTTATTTTCTTCGTTACTAATAATCGAACAAAAATACTTTTATATACTAAATTATTTGTTTTTTTAAGCTCTTTAAAAAGGTCTAAAGAGAAATCGGGAAATTTTGTGTTTTGAGGGTCAAAAGTGAGAAAAACCAATTTTTACCCCATAAAACCCCCCGTAAATCCCCGTTCCCATGGTCCGATCGTGCTGGTTCGCGAACTCATTCAAGTTTATCCCGCTTTACACCTTTAAACCAAATTTCATCAAAATCGGAAAAAAATTACTCAAGTTATCGCGTTCACGGACGTATATATATATATATATATATATATATATATATATATATATATATATATATATATATGTCTATATATATATATATACATATATAAAAATTTGAACGAATGGTGTTTTTGGCCTCTGGGGACATCAAAATGAAAAAGTAAATCGGTCCCGGGTCTAGGTCTTACCGTGCCACCTACGGTAATAGCTACTTCCCTATAGGGAAATTCGCTAAAACACACTGTGAGTTGAAGTTTTTGAAATCTGTAAACCATCTACGTACATTAAAATCCATACATCAGCAGCATTGCATACTTCTATCATGAGGGTAGGGTGGACTCTAGGTACAGATACCAACCATGGCTCATTGTGCATGTCTACTGTAATATGTGGGTCACAGACTAAATAAAGTGCTGTGAAGAATGTAATTAATCACAAGCAGGATTTAGAACATACATTTTGTAATGTAATACGTAATAAGTTATAGATATTATAAGGCATTCGTGAAATGTATAAGGAAAAGCATATGTTTTCTTAAAAGATAACTTTAGTTTTCAATGATACCCAACCAGAATAAAAGAATGTCTTGAATATAATATGGACATTTTAATCGAGGAAAATTAATGATCCCGTAGTAAATAGCTAACTTACAGGGTGAAACAATTAATTGTTCCATAGCTGAAATTATAGACCAATTATTTTTCTCTTAAAAAACATGCAGTAATTTTGAATAAGGTCTTCTTATTAAACACAAAAACTGATCGGTAAATTTTTATAAGGTACGGGATTGAAATAGTAAAATAGGCAGTATAAAACGCAACAATCTTGACCCGATTTGAATAGTCAAGTCTTTAAACACACCATGACAAGTGCAATAGAAACAATGGACTGTTCAATTTATCCTAAATACTGTAACCCTAAAATAAAAAGTAATAATCTCCCTAAGAATTATATAAGAAACTTGTTAATCATCATAAACGTTAGTTCATGTTAATGAATTCATGTAATATAACAAGATATCAGTGACGAAATTCTGTTGTCTCTAATGACTAATTTAACCACTCACTGAATTTTGTTAGAATAATCAAACTTGGCTTTGTCGCTCTCCGATGAACCCGTTTAATAGTTCTCGGATGAGAAATTCTTTACAGGCCTTGCATCAGTCCTTAAACACTCCAGGCAGCAACAATAGTCAATTATCGTACGGTCATAAAATATTCCCTATACAAAACTACATACAGTACCGCCATCTCCATAAACGCAAGAGTGGATGACCACGGACTTGCTGGAAATGATGCATTGCAATTTTGTGGCGGTTAGGAATTTCCGAGGTTTCATAAAATGAAAACCTTCAGCACTTGTACTTAAGCTTTACTTTTGATTGCTTTTCTCAAATAATTTGAGGGAACTTCATTTTCTTTAACGTGTTCCAACAAGTACAATTTTAATACATACTTTATGATTTTGTTGTAAGTTCCTTAACAATATTAATCGACTTAATATGGACTTAGACAAAGCTTTATTATGGAATCTCGACAAATTCACATACATTTTTAAAACACGTATGCTGCAAGTTGATCAATGATGATCATAAATACGTCTGTTCAAATACAGTATGTTCAAAACATTAAACACCTGCCTAGGTCGTGAAATGTAGGTGATTTTAAACACTCAATATTCAGTCCCAAACTAAGTAACAAAAGCTATGATCAATACACATGTAATATATTAGAAACATATGTTTCAGAGAGGTAATGTCGGGTGATAGCAATTTGAGATCACATAAAAAAGACAATTCAGTTAATTATTTTAACTCGCTTTATATTATCTTACAATGTGAAAAAATCTAATACTGGGGTAAGAAATCGTTTTTGAGTCATACTTTCAGAAGAAAAAGTGCTATTGGAATCTCTAAATCAACTGTAAAAAAATTCGTTTTGGATTATTTAAATTCCATGAGACAATTAATTTGTGTTCAAGTATCAAATCTTTGCTCAATTATGCGATAAAAGCATTATAAGGTCTAAGCATTTACCCACGACAATGATAATCTTAGTTCTAATCCAAAAACGCATACAGTACTACAATTTATTTACAGTTAATTCTTTGTACCAGTTCAAACCGAACTTTGCTCGAGTCCTTAACCTTTTAAAGCTTACAATAGTTGACTAGAAATGTTATATATTCTTTCTGTGTTTAAATTTTATCTTTGAATCGAAGTTTAATGTAGTCACAGAAACCTAAGGGCTGTATTCCTAAGGGGATTTCTTCAAATATTAATATCCTAAAACAAAAGGGGTAAAGCGCAGCCCGACGTTTTTTGAAGTTTCAGTAATAAAGATATACTTGTGACCTGAACTATGGGTTATACTTTATACAGGGTGTTTTTTTGAAAACTTGCATCTTTATTTATGTAAAAACCGCAATAGATAGAAATATGCAGTTGGCGGGAATCATCTATTGACGTAGGGGGCATAATTTTTTTGAATTCAACGTTACATTTACATTCCCCCCCTGCCCCCAACTTAATTTTTTTAAATAGCAAGGTACCCCTTGTGACATATCAAATAAAAGAGCATGAAAAAAGAAAATGTTTGATGAAAGAAAATTGAAAATCGGTTCATAAACTTGTGAGATATTCCCCCCTCCCCACCGGAAACTTAATTTTTTTTAATAGCAAGGTACCCCTTGTGACATATCAAATGAAAGAGCATGAAAAAAGAAAATTTTTGTTTAAAAGAAATTTAAAATCGGCTCATGAATTTGTGAGATAATCCCACCCCCCTTTTCCCCTACCCACAACTTGTTTTTTAATAGCAAGGTACCCACCCTTGTGACAAATCTAATGAAAAATAAATTTCACCAAACATTTTCTTTTTTCATGCTCTTTCATTTGATATATCACAAGGGGTACCTTGCTATTAAAAAAAATCTAGTTCCGGGGAAGGGGGGGGGGATATCTCGCAAATTTATGAACCGATTTTAAATTTTTTTTCATCAAACATTTTCTTTTTTCATGCTCTTTCATTTCTCATTTCATTTCAATAGATGATTCTCGCAAACTGCATATTTCTATCTATTGCGGTTTTTACATAAATAAAGATGCAAGTTTTTTAAAAAAACACCCTGTATAGTTTAGACTGGGTGTTATGGTCTACAGTAGCTTGGATATTTGCTTCTATGTGTTCTACATGGAGTGTTTTTATTATTTTCTGTCCTCTCACTTTACTGCATACCAGAGATGAGTGAGGACGTTATGAGAGAAAGAGAAAGAGAGAGAGGGGGAGAGAGAGAGAGAGAGAGAGATGTGAGAGCCGAGAGATGTGTCAACCTCACGAACTTCCGCCATTGCAACTGTATCCGCCAACCCACGTTCACGAATACCACGTCACATGTGCCAAACTTGTTTTATCGAAAACCCTCCTTCCCAACACAAAATGCAAAACAAATTTGAAGGTAGAGAACCAACATAGGTAGTACTACAATGGTGGGGTCTGATAGTAAATATACAGGGTGTCCCGGAACTCTCTACCAATATTTTAGGGCATTGCTCCTGGGTAAGAAACATACCTAAATATCATATTTAAATCGTCCGGAAGTCCTTAGTTACTCACACAGCCGTCATTTTGTTTTTTTCAGTTATTAATTTTTTTCTAAAGAATGGTTAAACATACGAAATGGAAACTTTACACAAACCTTTATGACAACTAGACAAAGCTACCAAAAAATTATGACGATTTTTCAAAAACATAAAACAAAATGGCGGCCATTTAAAATTTTTATAAAATCAACGGTTTTTGAGTTATTTAAGAAACAACATTTTAAATGGTCACCATTTTGTTTTTTGAATTTGAAAAATCTTCATAATTTTTTTCTAGCTTTGTCTAGTTGTCATAAGTGTTTGTGCAAAGTTTCCATTTCGTATGTTTAACCATTCTTTAAAAAAAAATTAATAACTGAAAAAACAAAATGGCGGCTGTGTAAGTAACTAAGGACTTCCGGACAATTAAATATGATATTTAGGTATGTTTCTTACCCAGGAGCAATGCCCTAAAATATTGGTAGAGAGTTCCGGGACACCCTGTATAGCTTACCCGGTTAAATTGGTCCTTCAAACCAGATAAAGCTTGCTTCTGCCTAATGAGAACAATGTATTGGAGAGTATGTGTATTGAGAAACTATGTATTTATTCAATCAAACAAGTCACCATTACCTAATTCGAATACCCAAGAAACAGCATTTTGATAATGTCATTTTAAAACCTTTTTAAGAAGAGCAATGAAACATTTTCCCCTAAAATCTAAAAAAAATCTATAGAAAACCCTAGATAGCAAAAGTATGAATACGGGATAATGATTCTGGACTGACATTACACAAAGTTCGTACTGAGTTTTGTAAATACAAAAGTAACTTTAATCTACTTTCGTTGTGAAAAGGTTCCTTCAATCGAGAGTCTTTTGTCCTCAAGTTCTTTCACACTCCTTTTTAAATCACATCAAAATTATTTTCATTTTTAAATATACGAAATATAAGAGTCAAGTTTTAACGTTTAACTGGAGTTTTAATGACTTCTCTAATATTTCTATTCACTGACATATTAGCAGCATTATCGGATCAATATTTCATAAAAAAAAGATAAAAGAACTATTACATTTGTCACACTATAGACCATAAGAAGAATATGAACTTAAAGTTAAACAAATATCTTACCCTGACCCTCGTCACTTTAATTTAAGGTTTTAAATGTAATAAACATCATTAAACATACTTTATACCAAACGTCCTTCCCTTTAAGTTAAATTTAAAAATAGACTATGCAGCCGGAAAATACACTTACAGAAAAAATGACTACTGAACCAAGAAGTATACCTGAACGATCTATCGAAAACTACGACTTAAATAAGAATCAATAAAGAAATTAAATAGAATACTTTTAAGCTACCCTTGTACGTACAGTGGTGGTCTAGAATTTAATTTAAAGGGAGGCATGTCCCTACCTTTCAACACGTAGTCCTGCCTCAATTGTACTTTAAAACATGTCTTAGAATGACATAAAACAAGATTTACAAATTCAACAGGCGTTTAAACGTTAAAACAAATCAATTGTTTACATTATAATAGCGAAAGTTATATTTTAACTTTACCCTATTATATTAGGAGAAGGGTGTAAGTAGCAAAGTAATGTTTTGTTGACAGCTCGAACTGACTTTATTTAGAGTACAGCCTCAAGCATCTGATGGTTGGCGAGGTGAAGAATCCACAAAACAACAAGATTTACATTTATTTCGGACTAACCTTGACCAAGGATGTGCGGCCAATAGGAGAGAGGGGAGGTCTCTACTATTACCCCTTGTTACGGTCAAAAATGTAAAAAATAAGGGTACATTTATCGTTTAAAACAGCCTACATTAAAATGCTTATAATACGTGTTACACAGATTACCTTTTCATGCGGACTTTCAGTTAGCTTTAGTACAACATAGCTAAACACAGCCGCACATTTAAATTGTTTAATTCCGTACATTAAAAATTGGGAATAGTGTAAGTAGAATGTTTTCCCCCGTATCTACGCCAGTTACATTTTTGTAATGAAGTCATTTCAAAAACTTTTAAGGGAAAGCGGTCCAAACCCATTAAAGTTTTGCGGATGTGCCGGGGATTGAACCCGTCCCTCCCGCACCGAAGTCCGAGATGCTAACCACTAGGCTAGCAACACACCCCAAAAATATTATATTTTACAGAAATATACAGTTAGAAATGGTTATTTCCGCTTGATTTCTGCACTTATAAATGCTCATTGTTGGTAATTTATCAAGATATGTTGAATTTAAAGCCTTTTTGGGTTATGTTCGATAATAATTACAGTATTAAATTGTTTATTAAGTTATTTAATCGTTTGTGAAATGTTTAGATAAAAGCTTTAGTAGACGCAACATAAAGAACACGATGCGAACATGGTGACTGAGCTGAGAGCACGATATTGTTTGTAAGACAAGGTTTACTTTCTACAAACAAGAGTTAAGCTTTGAAGGTCGACTGATGCTAGGTGATTTGTCCGAACTAGCGTGTCCTGCGCGTTGTTTGAAGTGTTTGAACTTGTTGTTTAGTGTTTGGTGTTTAGTTGGTTGTGCTTGGTCCTCCTCCCACTAGGCTGATGTAACTTTTGACATTTTCACTCTTACACCTCTTGCATTACATCATTGACCAGGCCCCAATTTACTTGGACGCTTAGGGACATTCACTCACAGATGGTATCTGGTTCCCAACATTATAAGACGCTTACAAGTGCGGTCAAGATATTTGAGCTTTTTTGCTATTTAAGCTTCCCGTGGCGCTTGTATGAGCTTCTTTATGACACTCATGCTTACTGGACCTTTGAAGCAAGAGAGTCGGTACTGAACAACAAATGATAGTGAAGATAAAATAGATTGCCCTATTGACATATTACAATGAATGATTAGATGAAGACTGGTCTCAGTATGTAAATACCCCCGTTGCAGCATACCTTCAAACCACACTTATGTATAGTTGCATTAAAGATATTCCAATAAAATTAGCAATAACGCCCGTATACTTTATAACCTATTTGACTTCGAGTACTTAACCTTTCAATGTTTTGGAAAATTTGAAGATTAAAATTAGACAACACGAATTTTCCAAAATCTAACAAAATATTTATAAACAATAGGGTCTATAGCCGAAACTATCCTACAACTAAAATAAGCGTTATTGGTAAATTAAAACGTGGTTAAAAAACTCTTGCCTTCATTCGTCACAACCTAACCAAACCACAACCAAGCAATTTGCAAGGAAACCCTAACCATTCATTTTGTTACAGGGTGTTCTATCAGGCTGCAAACACAGTAAGTACAATCAACTACAGTTGCAGAAACGACTCAGTTTCCCCGGCCAACTAATTAATTTAGAGTAATTTAAATTGCTTTACATGCGCAATTCATATTTAATAACTAGGTAACGACATTCTTTGGTCGCTTCGGCCTACTTCTCTCGTTATATAACTGAAGCAGTGGAGTAGGTTGGTAGCGGAGACAGCACGGATATACTGCTTGGACCGGCTGTCACACCTTCACTTGAAAATACCGATATTCGATCAAACTGATTGTTTTCATAGTCATTGTAGCTACGTTCAAACATGTACATCATGAAAGTTATTAATAAACATAAATAATCGAGCAATTTAGTGTAGTCCGATTAACGGCTAGAACAAATTCACCATTTTACATTTACAATGAACCAGGTAATACAGGGTGTACCAATCCACGTATACGGTATTTAGCCTACAATGTTTTGGCACTGTGTTACATTGGGAAGAGGTAACGTGTGGGTAGACCTATCTTGTAGTAGCTATAGTTAGTACTCCCTATGTTTTACTAGAGTTTTAGGTGTTTGATGGCCTAGCACGCCATACATGGGTTTCAATTACTATCCAAATTTACAGGCTAATTTCTTAAAACACTAAGAAATATATAAACATTTCTAAGGTTCCTTGTGAGAATGGTTCAAGTATCTTTACATTCATTTCAATATATGAGTTAGTTCACACATAACTAGTATATTTAACAGCTTAAGGACCCGCTTCCTCAATACGATTAATTTTTTAATAAAAGAGACCACAGGGTTTCAACAAATATCTAAAGAAAAATACCAAGAACCATAGCAAGTTTTCCATATAGCATCGTCTAGAATGTCGAAAATATATGGGGCTTAAAGCTAATCGTGCTGCACAAAGCATCTATTCTTGCTGTTGTACAGTTTTAATGAAAAATGAATAATTAAAATACTTGATCGACTACGAGTAGTGCTTTATTCCACAAACGTCTTCTTTCAAACAAAACATGGGTGTATGTCGTTGACCAAAATTGTTTGAAATCTACTGGTTCTTCATTATGTCCCAGTAAATAATTCTTGTAATACATGGTAGACCCTTTTTAAATGACAATTTTAGCTATGTTTGTATCTTGTATTGTATTGCCCCAGATGACACTGCGAGGTCCGCCCACTACGTAGAAGCAGACATGGCTCGTGGGACAGTGTTGATACACCGCTACATCACGGGGGACTGACAGTGTATAGTGTATAGTGTAGCATGGTGGACCTGAGCACAGTGGTAGTGACGTCCCTCAAGGCCGCAACAGGTCTTGTAGGCATCAACAAGCTCTGGTTCATCCCTACGTTCCTAGCGGCCCTCGCCTACTACAACTATGACTTGTACGACCCGGAGAACAGACCCATCAACATCAAGACGGCAGAGATTCGAGCCGAGTATGACTTCATCGTCATCGGCGGAGGCTCTGCAGGCTCCGTCATGGCTAACAGGTCAGTCACACCTTGACTAAGCAAGTTTTCTTTCATAGGGATTGTTTTGGCAATGGTAAACTCGTCGGTCAAGGGGTTTATATGGGGTATATACCTCAGAAGATTTGAACGATTCTTTTTCTTACATCTCTACCTTTGTCGATCCTTTTTCTTCATGGGGATTTTCCAAAGGCCACCATAAAAGCCGTATAAGAGGTCAGTCAAAATTTGATAGAACAAAATGTATACTCGAAAATACTTAAATGAATTTCGGCACCAAATAAAGCTATCAACACAATCTAGATTAAATTTTCACTGTTTAATACACTGATTAAAACACTGTTGTGTCAAATAAATAAAATTAACACAACAAGTTTAGAGGTTAATTGTAAGAAGCATGAGGTCCTAAGTTCGCCTCAATAAAGAAGTATTTTAATTTAATTTCATTAAAAAAAAGGCGCCAAATAATAATACAATTTCAATTTATGTTGAATAATGATAACCACTACATTCTAAATATTGACAAAACAGAAAATATGATTCTTCTTTCACAAAGCCTCAGTCCAAATGCTTGTTTTTTTATATCTATAGTAAAAAAATACATAGGAAACATTATAGTTGTTCGCTATATGTAATTAACTTGATTGCCCCTTATAACAATCACAATTTTAATGCGATTAAATGACGAAACTGTTAGATGGAAAGGTGTTGGTCAATGATTATACACTCTTTCTGATATGTGTGTCAGCTTTCAATAGACGAGTGTCAGTTTGCCGTCTGGACTGACAAATGGAAAATTAAACACGTCTTTGTTACTCACAGTTGCTGAGCCAAGAGCCCGGCGTAGGATGGGAATCTTACGCAACTATGTCTAATGAAGCATGGGCTGTGATTGATTTCGAAAATAATATTTTCTCTTTCAGCCAAGTCCGAGTAAAAAAGAGGCTTTACCGGAGTCATAATCGTAATATCTTACACCTGAACCACTTTCTTTCGTCTTTAGAGTTTCTACAAGTCAAATTCGTTCGAAGAAAAGATAAAAACTCTTTTGATTTTAATGCAATTTGAAGGAAACATGTAAATAAAAACAATTTGATTCGGTTCACGAACTAGCCAGGCCTGACCATTGGGAGAGGGCTCGAAGGGCAATGCTGTACCTCAACAAGGAGCTTTTGACTTGAACTTTTGGATTTGGCAGATTTAAAGGGAAAGACAACTTGAACTTCACCGATGTTCAAACATCTTCACTAAAACCACATCCTGTCCCTATTTCAAAAAATGATAGTCTATGATGTGTTTATAATTATTCTACTTTCTCGAGAAGAGAAGAACGTGGATGTTAACTTTTATATAATATAACTACCAGTATGATTATTATCTCTTCTCCTCCACCAAGTGTTGTTCGCTAACCAGCTGTTTGACCTGTCCAGGTTGTCAGCGATCCCGGAGTGGAACGTCCTACTCCTGGAGGCTGGTGGACAAGAGACAGAACTGACAGACGTCCCTGCCTTGTCCCTGTATCTCCACAAGAGTCGCTTTGACTGGAAGTATCGCACACAACCCCAGCCTACAGCTTGCCAAGCCATGAAGGACCATAGGTGCTGCTGGACCAGAGGAAAGGTAAGGAGAACCAATATCAGTCGGTATGCCACACAGAATAGAAAATATATATCCTTTCATAACCATTTTTCTCATAAAGAGATCTTATGGATTGATGAAGGCTCTAAAGAAGCACAAAAAGTAAGAATCAATAAACTATATTTATAGATAATACACCTGGCGCTTTTGTAATGCTTCCCTAACAAAATTTAAATTTCCCTTCTTACTATCACAAAAGGGTTCAAAACTAGTTATTTCATGATTTACTGACGTTGTGTCTTATGGGATAGCAAAGAAGCTACTCATACATCTAAATTATTCATCTATCAACAAATATGTCATCACGCTCATTATCTTTCATTTCGAGAAATTGTTTGAATGTCTTTTGGCCCAAGGTGATCGGAGGGTCGAGTGTCCTGAACACGATGCTGTACGTCCGCGGCAACAGGAGGGACTACGACAACTGGGCAGCGATGGGCAACGAGGGATGGAGCTACGAGGAGGTGCTCCCGTACTTCATCAAGAGCGAGGACCAGAGGAACCCCTACTTGGCTCGGAACACCAAGTATCACGGGACCGGGGGATACCTGACGGTCCAGGACGCACCATGGAACACGCCTCTAGGTCAGTACCTCTAGGAAACGATGGAATAGTGTATTTCTATGTAATAAACTTTAGGAGAGAGGCATTAGAGTGTCTCTGGCTTGATAACTATAGGAGAGGATGAGATAGCCTGTCTCTATGTCAGTAAATTATACTATCAAAGAATGCAATAGTGTATTTCTAGGCCAGTGTCAGTGTATTACTCTAGGAGAGGATGGAGTAATGTTTTCATAGGGCACTTACTGTAGGAAAAGACGCAATAGTGTGTCTCAAGGTCATTAACTCTAGGAGAGGATGCAATAGTGTGTCTCTAGATCACTAACTCTAGGAGAGGATGCGATAGCCTGTCTCTATGTCAGTAAATTATACTATTAAAGGATGCAATAGTGTATTTCTAGGCCAGTGTCAGTGTATTACTCTAGGAGAGGATGCAATAGTGTGCATCTAGGTCACTTTTCTAATATAATTTTGATTGCATTATTTCTTTACATCCAATACCGGTAGTTCACCCACGAAGATACATGGTTCTAAATCCGGAATGGCATTTGTGGCAACCCCACCAGTGAGACATTTACCACCACCGATGCCACGTAGCAGGGTTCCATATCATCAACCCAGTATAACCCCAATTACAACAAAACATGGCGAGAATGAATCTGTTGCATGATGGAAATGTAATTGCTCCGGAATTATAACGCAATTACAGCTGCAACAACATAGTTGCAACTGCATCCTAGGTGCAGGGAAAGTGTGAGGTCAATCGTTGCAGGTGTCCGTTGCAATTATTGCAATGGGAGGATCTTCTTGCAATAATAATAGGAAGAAGATTATGACACAGTGGATGCAAATAATGACACCTTTATTACGTGCATGTTACGAAAGTGTTGGTCAGGCTTGGATGGTCCAAACAATCATCCAGGGGATTAGGAAACTTAATTATACTTTATATAGTAATAGCATAGTATAGTAGTATAGTATGGTAAATCTGAACTCATGTGCGTTTTAAAATTTTCATTATTAGAAATTGAGTCTATATTCGTGGACATGGATGTCTTACTACCAGGAAACGTTGTGATTTGGGTGCAATGAACAATTTAAAAGTTATAGAAAATGTTCTTTAAATGCACCAACCTTTTTAAATAAACTATGCTAAACGAATTTTAACACCCTACACTTAAGTTGGTCAATACTATTTACAAAATTTTCATTTACAGACCCGTTATAAAGGTTACAATTCTTTGTCGTGCTTCATTTATATCGGTCTAAATACAACAATTTTTTTATTACAACGACGTATTACACGTATTACAAATTTACTAAAAACCTAGCGAGTAAACTAAATCATCGCAAAACCACACGGTTATCTTCACAGACTTTTCATGGTCTTTGGGAGATGATTTAGTCGTTGAATCGTTGGCACTGCCACATTTTCTGTTTCCAGAGGTAGCTTCCTGCATACACAGCGTAGAAGAAATCTACTCTGAGCTGCATAGTGTATAGCATCCGACACACTGTCCAAGTGTTAGTATTTCATCACCGATCGTCTATCGCAGACCGATAGAGCAAGCAAACACATTCACCATTATACGTCTTGTTGCAGGCATAGCGTTTCTACAAGCCGGCGAGGAGATGGGCTACGAGATCCGTGATGTGAATGGTGAGCAGCAGACAGGGTACGCGTTGTACCAGTTCACCATGAGGCGCGGCTACCGCTGCAGCGCCGCCAAGGCCTTCATCAACCCTATCAGGCTGAGGAGGAACCTCCACGTGGCGCTATGGACCCACGTCACTCGTATCCTCATAGACCCGGACACCAAACGTGCCTACGGGGTGGAGTTTGTCCGTGAGGGTGTCAAGAGGACGGTGTTGGCCCGGCGGGAGGTCATCTTGTCTGCAGGAGCGATCAACTCTCCACAACTGCTCATGTTGTCAGGTAAGTCTGGGTTTAGGACTTCACGGTCAAAGTAGACTTGCCAAAACGGGAAATTTCTCTTATATACCTTGGTACAAATTCACCAAAAACTGATGGAGAGTTACTGAGTGATAACAACGTGACTTAGAAGTTAAGATCTCATTGGACAAAAACCACAACAATCATGGTACGGTCTGACTTGAACTGTCATCGAATGCAGTGTTCACCTAGTTTGATAGTGTATTTGTTTCATCGGTTAGTCGGTTAATATTATTATTATTCTATGATAAATGATCACTAGTTTATATCATTAAACATGTATTCCCGTCTGCAATTACGTCCTACCTTTATCGAAAGCATAAAACCTTCGGGCCCAAAACTTGTTACACCAAATTGTCTACATACAATGTAGGTTTAATTTTTTTGTTAATAACATATCCGAAAGGAGAAAACTAATTTTGTAAACCGAAATGACAGACGCCCCAGTAAATATAATTTTAAAAGACACGCTGTAATAAACACCGACAGGAAGTTATTATACACTCATTTCTATATTCCTTTGTATAAAAAGAAAGTGCGCTCACGGAACAAACGATGATAAAACGCGAAGTCCCCACCTCGGCAAACCTGCATACGAATGAAGGTATACGTACATGACTGATATTTATACAACTAATATCGCTAAACAGTTAGATTTTCATGGAATTCCCCTTCTGACGTTGGGATTCACATTTAAAACTGAGGAAGAAATATATTCTATACATAACAAATAAATAGTTAATAAGCATTTTAACGCTGTATTGAAAAGCATTAATCGTAAGCACGTTGTACAGGTCATACACCATTGTAGAGTTTATTAAACAGAGTAACAGTATCGGAAAGGTTACGGTAGTAGGCCTATAGATGAGACTAAGTGAAACATTGAAATATTTAGTAAATTTATAGATTGTTCTAAATAACACACATGTACCCAGCCATATATAAAAATAACATATTACAATTATTTTTCCCCTTAAGTTCCCTTACACATGCATAAATGCCTAGCCTTTTAAAACATGTACTTTACACTATGTCAGAAGAATTTGTTTACAATATATATCAACGGTGGAGGGGGGGGGGGCTTGAAATGTATTTCCTTAACATTGAGGTCAAAGTAGGGGACATACTCAAACACGAGATTTTACCAATTCTTGTGCCGTTTAAATTCTGAACGTTTAAATAATAGTATGAATGTTTTTAGAACAGCTTGAAAATCAAGTATTAAATTTACACACTGTACACCTCCCTTGGGTAGTTTAAATTCAACTGAACATTGATGAACCGCTGCCAAAACCGCAAGGGTCATTGGCGGGCAGTGAGTGGTGCCGTGGTAAAGGGAAAGTTCAGGACATCTACTAGGAGCAAGGACAAGGCCGAAGTGAAGAGTTGTTGGGAACCGACAACAAAAGATGCAAACTCACAATGCCAATGTCACCCAACCCCTGACTTGACTATCACTGTGTCTAGGATATCTACTGACATCACCGGACTAATCAGCTGACTACAATGACCCCACAGGGAGGTCGCTAATCATTTGTTTCAACTTGCTAATGATTCTTATCTACAGATTTGATCGTGAGGGATTTAATGAGAGATTACTGTCACTAGAGTTATCAAATTTAGTTTTCAAACTTTAAAAAGGCTTTTTTATCATGAAATTGGTTTCATGGAAAGTATACCTTTAAGTATCTTCAAACGCGACTAAATCCTAGAGCGTTCTAAAGGTATTATAAGACATAATCAGAGGCTATAGAAATATTTTTATAGAAAAGGTCAAATGTTTTAAATTATCAAAGAAATGTTGAAGCAAATTTAGTAATTCATATTGTGATTCATTATAGCAATAAAAGATACAAGAATCTCCAAAACTCCATCATCCATCTCTAGGTTTTATTCATCAATCCTCATACGAGACGATTTGGAAATATGACACCAATGCTATAAACTCCCATTGGAACAGTTAACCTAAAAAAATTGGAAAACCTACATGAATCAGCGGGATACCGTAACAATCTTATACGGAGTAAAGCCTTTTGGAATGAGGAACAGAAACAAACGTCCGGCTTAGTGAGGCAACGAAGGAAAGTTCGGAACAAACTGGAAATGCAAACGAGCAAACATGGTGTGTAACCTGTGACCAGCCTGGTGTGACTAATAGGTGAGTCACGGGGGGATTTGACACCTTTACTAGTGTGTCTTCTGATGGGGCTGCATCACTTTTGTTCCGCGGTTGAAGGCTAATTTCTTCACATCACTTTTGTCCGGTGGTCAGCAGGTAGATTTTGAGACCGGCCTAAACATCGCTTTTGTTCCGCGGACATCTCTCTAGTTCCGCGAGGGAGGGGTCTCTACTCCTCCTCCCCCAAATCCTCTCATTCATCCTCCTCCTAATTCTTTCTTACATACGGGATTTTAATCTCGTTAAATTATCATTTTTTCTTTAACAAAAATATCAATAATTTAAATACATAGCCTAACCTAACCTACAAAAGAAAGAATTAGGAGGAGAGCGAAAGAGAGAATTTGGGGGAGGGAGAGTGCAGCCCCCTCTCGCGGAACAAGAGAGATGTCCGCGGAAAAAACTATGTTTCGGCCGGTCCCGAAATCTACGGGCCCTTTCACACGAGGCCACTGGTGGCCGCCACTGATGGCCGCCACCGGTGGCCGCCACTGGTTGCCCGCCACAGCTTTAACATTATTTTAAATGGGACCTTTCACACGCAGCCACTGTAGTTGCCCGCCACTACACAGTGGCCGAGCAGTGTCTCCTCGCGCAACTGCTAGTCGGCAACCGCCGGCAACTCGTCGCGGGGCATTGAATTAAATGGGAGCTTTCCGAGCTTTCACACGTAGCAACCAGTGGCCGCCACCGTGGATGAGCGCGCAGCTACTATTTTGAATCAGTTCACGTGCAGACTGCAAAGACAAACGCACTATGGTAGTTGTTGATTGTTTTCGTGTTGAATTGTTTGTTTTTGAAAATGAGTGATCAGAAGAAAAATATAGAGGACGTTGCTGAAAAAGAAAAAGACTAAGGAAAACAACAGAATAAGAGAATAAACGAAATAATAGAAGACAAAGTGGATACTGACGATCTAATTTGCTAAATTGAAAAGTAACCGGCAATTTGGTATAGTACACCTGTGTCTTTGCCTTATTTTCTTTATTATAACCGCGAGAAGAAGGAGATGTTCTTTGTTCAACAGCATTTTCACAACTACCATTGTACAGTGGCTGTAGTAGAGTGGCTTGTAAGTTGCCTGTACCATCCACTGCAGTTTCCCGGCCGGTAACTGGTGGCGGACACCGGTGGCCGCCACCAGTGGCCTCGTGTGAAAGGGCCCTACCTGCTATCATAGTTTTAAAGAAATATAAAAAATTGCTTTAAAAATAATATCAAAATCACTTTGCGAAGGTACAGCAGCTGAACGCACTACTATAAAATACTAAGATTATAAAATGAAACTTTTATTCAGTACCTTCTAATCGTTAGTTAAGGACGATTTTGTACTGTTAAGCGATAAAATGAAAAATCTGAATCAATAGAATGTAAGGAATATATCTTTTCCTTATCATGACTTTTTATAAATTGTTTACATGTTGATAACAGTTGTAGGTAGCTATTAGATATACTCTTGAACTCTGGCTAGTGAGAAACAATGGGAATATTTAGATAAGGATTGTCAGAACAAATAACTTTAGATTGTAGTATACTATAAGGATGTTAATACAAAATCCATTTAAAGTATACAAAAATTAACAACATTAAACTTAAACTATTGTACAGCAAACTTATCAATGATGCGTTATGGACCATCTTTTGAAAACGTTTAGAGATTATAGCTTTATTTTATTTAACACAACGTATTCATAAATTCACGTTTTAATGAATAATCTTAAATGATTGACAAGTAGAAACAGACAATTAACAGTGTACGAACAACGGACCAGGGAGTTGGTTTTATAATATTCAAAATTTACAAAAGGTTTTATCGGCAGATGAGATGAATCGACTAATCCATCCATGTAGAACAAGATGAACACACGCACACAACACTAGTTAACAGTCCCAATACACCGAGTTAAAGTAAAAGTAAAACACGTGTCCTGCGAGTGATAAAACACAATCAGAGTTTGTATACTTGAGTAGACATTAGACAAGGCTATTGACGAATTAGCAATCTCTTCCTAAACAAAGACGAAAGTAACAGTGCAACAGTTATGCAACTACCTACGTGGAGACCTATGGAGTATTATGTAAAGGTCCTGGGTGAAGATAGTTGACTTCCTACAACAGTGTCCTCTTGATACCACAAGATGAACACAGCAAACCACTAAGTAGCTTTGACTTCTGCCCCGCTGGAGCTTGTAAGGACTATAGAAAGTTAAAAGAAATTACAGCATTCATGGTTCTCACTATTAGCGGTCCAATATACAGGGTGAACCAGACCACCCGTGCACAACGGTTTGGCCAAACAATCTTTTTTTTTAATCCACCATTAAACATTTTTTAGTAGGCTACTTACATTAAATTTCATAATGTCACTTTAGGCTCTTTTCTTTCAATGTTGGGATCATTAAAAGTACAAATATATGTACGAAAAGTAATATTAAGAATTAAAAACACGTCGAAAATCTAAGACATTTGACAAATTTTAGAAGTAGAGCGGATTTTGAAGGTGAATGAGTGCGATGTAAAATGCCTAAGAGTGTCTTGTAGGAAATGTAATTCTTGACCATGATAATTCTTTCAAATCTTTGATTGAAGAGGCCATTCTCTTTCCGTTTTCAAGCTAAAGCTGTTAAAACCCGTGTTTTTCTAAAAAAAAGGGGGATTTAAGATAATTTTTTTAGGGGGGGGGGGCTGTAGTTTAAAAATGTAACTTTTTGGAATTTTCTGGGTGGTTTGGGACCGAGATGGACTTCCATAAATAATTTCAGATCCCTAGCTATTCTAGAAGTTGGTAAACATTTGTATACAAGATCAGTGAGTTACACAAGCGTCTGTATATCCCGTAAGTATGTGCACGGGTGGTATGATTCACCCTGTATACAACGGTGCTCAAAATTTATAAAATATACATCAACAACCATAGCAGTGTGTAAAGTAAAATTACTTGTTTGAGTATCTACTGAATTTCACTTCGAAGATGACGGTTGGATTTATGATGCACGAATGTGTGAATTGGAAGACAACATGACGATCTGAAGTTATAGATGCTTGTTATTGTCATATGATGCGGACGTAACATCATATAGAAGCTGACTGGTTCCCATTCCCAGGAAAATTACTCTACATATAATAATTCAATATTTGCAGTAAAGCTCTAAAATTTTCAGAGGTACCAAGTGTAGCTGAATTTGTATACTGTATATTAGTTTCACATATTGAAGATTTTATGTGATGAAGAATTAATAATACATATTAGGTCCTCATAAACGTAAGTAAATTTGACAACGATTATATCCGTAAAATTTTTACAAAATCAGACGATTTTCATACATACTTCATTTTTTTTATGAACAACTTAAGTAAATATCGATGACAATTATTCATTTATCATATCACAATAATAATGGTGGTTTAATGGTGTAGATGACCAGACTCATTGTAGTCACAGTCATTGATGGTGTAGATGACTAGACTCATTGTAGTCACAGTCAGAGGCAGGTGAATGACTAGACTGTGACCGGTCAGTTGAAGGAGCAGGAAGCCCGACCCCAACAAGGCCAAGCTTTCTCTCACTTACACAACGCTAACTCGTCAGCCTTGGGTACGTTTTGCACGTGCGCAGCCCATTTCACTTTCTTATTGATATCATTTTCAGTTTCGAGAAGCTTATTCATCAGAAAATCCACAAGATGTATTAATTCATGGTTTTGAAATTAAGACTGGCACAGAATCCAGTGTTATATGAAATGAAAAAGAATTTCACAATTGAACCAGATATGAAGAGGCTGCTGTTATCAAGGAATTCATGAATGAGTTTGTACTTAAACGAACTTTTAAATCTCTGGCAGTTATATTTTGAATCAGAATAGAAAATAAAGTGTGTATCCTACTGAACGTATGGGTCGCTTTCAAGTAAGATTAAGAATATAATTCTTTTATTCTTTTTTTCGTGGTTAAATCTATATCCCTCTTAATAAAGGAATGAAGCTCTATGGAACTGAAATACATATATCCAATCAAAAATACATACGTTATGGTAAAATTGGTGTATACATCGTTAAAATTGGTGAACTTGGTATAAAATGTCATAAAAAGGTTTTAACCTCAAAATCATATCATGATTGATCAGAATAATCGAATAACGACCGTATCCACTCGTATATAAATTTAAAGGGTAAATGAAAATACTACAATGTGTAAAGTTGCCAAAGCTCTGTAGCCAATTCACACCAAACTGTGGTTGGTCGCACTGATTCTGTTTGCTAGACGGCTGAGCTCCTGACATCTTCACAACAACTGACGTATTTTAATGTAAATCATCATGTAAATGTGGCTGAGTCAGCAGGTAACATTCAACTTGTAACTTCCAAACAGAATCATCGCAAATCTCAACATTATAACATCCAACTCTTCAAGAACCATGACAATTCCCCAAGTTAATAATGGGCTAAGCATGATGAAACTAGTACTGTTTGTTAATCTTTGAACAGACGAAAATATAACTGAACGAAAATAATATAATAATTTTATAGCAAACTGAGATTTTACAATCACTAAACTACGTAATTACGAGAACATAGTTTTCCCCGTAAGTATGGTTAATATTTCTGACTGCTCTCCATCACAATAGGCACGGAATGCGTTTTCCAAGGTCACCGCTTATAAGTTAGAATCAACGAGTTACTTCAACTCTAGGAACACAACAAAACAAAATAAAACAGAATATAACTGTTCGTGTCCTCGGTAGGATTTGCAGATGCATGTGAACAAATTAAAATTCAGACGAACAGATATAAATAATCAAATAAATAACTGACAACCATCATAGCTTAAAGTAAAGAATTCGAAAGTCAAATCTAGTCTAAGATGTGAAATGTATTTAATGTTTTTTTAATTTTAAAACTAAGACATATATATTTTTATCGACATTGTTGATTATACGAGCACTTCCGTTTTTTTTTTTATCTTAGTGAATACCTAGATGTACACTCTGAAGGAATTTCGTTTGTTATAATTTTATTAGAGCGAAACAAGTCCCTATGGGAAACCGCAGGAATATAGTGTTTCTTGTGGTCGCAAGAGGTTGACAAACATTCTATACCAGGCTATATTTCACTTTGATGATTTCTTTATATCAACACTATTGCTAAATTACTGACATCTGTTTGGTTAGATAAAAAGATAGTAGATTGGTACAGTTAAAATAGAATAACAATTGCTGCCTGTAAATAATATTAAAGGCAATACAACATTTCTAACTAATTTACGAGAAAATGTTAATATATTTTGAAAGGACCGTGAACCCTGCTCTTACAATCATTGTAAGATTGTATGATTACATGTATAAGAGCAGAGCTCAGAATCAACACTTGTTATTGTTGTTCATTGGTATATTTTAGCGTGTAACTGGAAGATAAGTGTGATAAAAATCTATATGGTACAATAGAACGTTCTTTAAGAGTTTTGCGGAATAACAAAAATTCGTATTATTTTGAGCAATAACAAGTACATTTTTAATTTACAAGTTTGTGGATTTTAAGTTAAATTCAAGTTTAGACTATTTAGGGTTGAGTTTGGGCTAAGTGTTGAATTTTCGTCGATTCATTTTTAATAGCAATAAAACATTTATATTTACAAATATAACTAACGTCAGTATTTCTTCAAGAAAAATTTAAAATAAAGACTCTTTGTCTCTTTTGATAGAAAGGAGTAAATATCGAATGCTAAATGTGTATTATGTGTAAACTAGAATTCACTTTAACTACGATTTGTCCAAGGCAATTGAGATTATTTCATAGCACTTAGATTAGGTTTGTAATTAGACTAAATGTTTCATCTACTTGCAGGTATCGGACCAGCAGAGCACCTGCAGTCAGTGGGCGTGCCTGTGATCCACGACTCGCCAGGAGTGGGACGCAACCTGATGGACCACATCGCCGTGGGAGGGATCATCTTCCTGGTGGACTACCCGGTGTCTCTGGTGCTGCAGAGAGTGATGAACATCAACTCTGCACTGCGCTACGCCATCACGGGGGACGGCCCTCTCACCAGCTCCGTGGGTCTGGAGACTGTGGCGTTCATCACGACCAAGTACGGCAACGTGACCGACGACTGGCCAGACATGGAGTTCATGTTGACGTCCACCAGCACCATCAGTGACGGAGGGACTGTGGCCAAGCGCGCCCACGGGCTCAGGCAGGAGTTCTTCGACGAGTACATGGGAGACATTGTCAACAAGGACGCGTTCGGAGTGTTCCCCATGATATTACGGCCTAAGAGTCGCGGATACATCAAGCTGAGGAGTAACGACCCAATGCAGTACCCTCTACTGTACCACAACTACCTGACAGACCCTGATGACGTCAGAGTGTTGCGGGAGGGTGTCAAGGCCGGGTTGGCCATCGGGGAGACTGCGGCGATGAAGAGGTTCGGAGCGAGGTTCCACCGCAGGCCTGTCCCAGGGTGTAAGCAGCTCCCACTCTTCACTGACGAGTACTGGGAGTGCTTCATCAGACAATACACTATGACTATATACCACATGTCGGGTACGTGCAAGATGGGGCCGTCTAGTGACCCGGCGGCCGTCGTCGACCCCAAGCTGAGGGTGTACGGGGTCCAGGGTCTCAGAGTGATAGACGCGTCCATCATGCCACAGATCACCAGCGGCAACATCAACGCCCCTGTCATCATGATCGCGGAGAAGGGGGCTGACATGGTCGTCAACTACTGGAAGGGCTACGACACCTCCAGGAAGAGGAGGGCGACTGACACCCCCGAGGACTGAGCACGGTCAAGTCTACAATTACTTGGTCAACCCCACACCCTTAAATTGACACCATCATCATATTCACTAAACAATATTATACTTTTCTCGAAAACATTATAAATGTACACGTCAATAACCTGGACATACATTTATATTGGGATATTGTAATTCAAACTCACAACCTGTATTGTTCCATTCTATTAGTCATAAACATTTCAAATGTAATCAATGTAATTTTAACATAAACTTAGTTTACAATAACTGCCAGCACAGCACAAAACATATGCAAAGTCAGATGAGGTAGGAACAAAATTTAAAAACATATTCTGTAGTATGAGCATGACATGAACTCCTCCAACCCCTAGTCGGTCAAGTTTCATACCGTAGATGACCGTGGAAGTATATACAACGAATATGAAGAGTAAATAACTAAAAGTGACGATCATTGCGCAAAAGTGACAAAAACTCTTAAACTGACAACTTGCTCAATGTGACACCCGACAGTGGCATGTTACCATTAGAGTTAAGGGCGATTTGCGAACAACGCTTACAGATTATACAAAGTGTTTCGCGAGTAGTGTTATTTAAAATATTTTTTGTAAACCATAGATAGAGCTCCGTTGTGTATATGTTCTGCGTAGATGGGAACCGTTAGTGGTTTTAGTCAGATGACCAAAGATGGGCTCAAGATTTACAAAGTTAACTTAGAACATTAATGTAAAAGAATAGAACTGTAACAACGGTTGTAAAAATGTTATAAATTATGTAACGTTTTAAAACACTCATTAAACATGAGCATGACGTAGTGTTGGTACGAACAGCAGCTTTTTATAACGTAAGAAGTGTAATGTTATGTTTCTTAAGGAAAATAAACGAGTGTTTTTTTTAAATTTCAAGGTTTTAATAATAAGATAACTGGAAGTTATAAAATGATGAACGTATTTCAAACAATCAATATTGTGTTTTTTTTTCTGGTCTTGAAACCCTCGACATCCATTGTGTATGCACCATCATATCATCAACATAATGTAATAACATTATAATAATCATATGATCATCAAAATTACAAAATATACTGGTACCTCAACTGGTAAGAAGTTAGTTAACAGTTTAACATTACGAAGAAATCATTACTCACATTAAATTTTAACTAGGTAATGATATGGACTAAGGAAACAAAACTTTTGTTTCCTTAGTCTATGGTAATACAGATAAAAAATAAATTATATTAAAGAAAGGTATAGATTTGAGTATTTCCCAACTTTCTAAATGACAAAATATGATGATGGAAAAGTATGAACACACTAGTATTTAGACTACAAACTAAGTTAATATTTGTAAGCCAAATCTGTGAAGTAGTTTTAAAAGAAAATATGATAAAAAGTTTTTTTTTACAATCCTCCTCCTGCTGAAACACCCTAATTCTAAGTCGGCTTGTGAACTCAATCGAAAAACGAAAAAGTATAGTGGTCCCAGGTTTTAGTCTTACCAAACATACTACAAATAGCTACACCCCTAGAGAAAAAATTCTTTATATAATGTAAACTATCTTACTTGGATGTGTCTTCATCAATTACTTCAGTTGCGTATAGTAAAGTACTCAAAACACTTTCATACCTGAAAAATACAATTTATATCAGAAATAAGTATAATGTACGACTGTTAGTGTAAAGGTGGGATTGAAATGTAATGTAAATGCTGTAAATACAACAATTATATAGTAAACACAAAACCACCCTTGCTCATCTGAAAAGTTGAAAGTTGTTGTCATATGCAAAGTTGTACATATATACAAAGTTTAATTTTTACAGGTATTTATATGTGGTTTTCAATGTCTTAACTACTATCTTCTCACTGAAGACAAACCTATAACAGTGTTTTATCAATCGGAATGTAGACCCCTTTATGTTTGCGTACCAGACGATGTTAACCTCATTACAACTACAGTAAGGACTTGCGACCATTTGTATCGTTTGAGAGTAAAACCTTTGGTAAATAAAAGTAAAAAATCGTTAAATTCCTTCAAAATACTTTATTTCAACAATAATTTTAATGTTAAATATAAATTTATTGGTGCAACAAAAAACTAACTCTACCAAAGATACATGTACAAAATTATTATTCAGTTTATTGATATCGTTTTACTATCAATAACTTTATCGCTAGCATTCTCATTAAAAAATAATGGTTGTCCTCCATGCAAACCTTGATTTATAATAAATAATAATCATTCATTAAATACTAAATAACTATATGATAGTTTCCCACCTTGAACATTTTTTGCTGAAAATATTATTGAACTAGGAATTGAAACCAACACAATACACAGACAAAACCAAACAGTCATTCATAATAACCAAACATCAATGATGAGTTCATCGCAACAATGCTCGTGCATGCGTGTCGCTACAAGATCATCAGCTGTTGAGTGAGAGTGAGAGAGAGAGAGAGAGAACATTGCTACTATCAGCTGACTATATTCTGGACCTGTCATTGGTTTATACGGGAGTTTACATTATATATTAAGAATGAATATTTTTTTAGATGAGTTGTATATAACTATTGTACACTCATTATAAAAATAAATATTACTTTACAAAGAGAACATTTATTTTAAATGTACAGTATAAAATGGTAACTAAAAACAAACGTCAATGTTTTGTTGATAAAGTGTTAACAGGAAATAGTAATTTGGTTTAGTATTGTTACGTAATAGAATATTATATACGCAAGAAATACCGACTTTTTTGACGGTTTAAATCGTCAGTTAAATAAATCTATCATGACGAACCTCGAATTTTACAGAAGTTTGCTAGAATTTCTAACCCCAGGTCGTTTAAAATACACATTGGATCTTAAATTGTATTTTTTTATATGGACTTTAAAACGATAACAGTTTGTTGAATTTTAAAAATGGTTATATTGTGCTATAATCTTAAAGAACCAATGTAAAAATGTACATAAATGAAAATTTTAAAAGTTGAACGTCAAAGCTTTAGGCGATATTCTGTTCAACAAAAGTTTCAACCCAAGGGAGAAGAAAAATAACATCATCTGTGATCTGTGAAATGTGTAAATAAAGGAGATTGTAATTCCTTAGCTATACGTGATAGCTTAACTTTATTAGCATTAATTCATTGCTGACAATGCCCTTTTTATATTTGAGAGGATGAAATTACTTTTCATAATTCTAATTAATGTTTGTTTCCAAACACTGATAGGTAGCAAAGCTACACAAAACTAGTAACTTCTGCCACATTTTAGTGAGGTGGCACGGTAAGGCCCCGTTTATGCACCAAGAGCGGGAGCGGTAGCGACAGCGGGAGCGATTTCTAACACCATTGAGTTAAATGGGGCTGTTTATGCACCAAGAGCGATAGCGATAGCGGTTGACCTCCCGCTGCGGTTTCTAATTCGCCCGCTGTGTAGTTAGAAATCGCAGCGGTTGCTTGGGATAGAGCGGTTTTCAACTACATTGAGTCAAATGGGACTGTTTATGCACGGCGGGAGCGGGAGCGGCTGAAGCCAGGGTTGCCAACTTGACCTACGCGCACGTGCACTTAGGACAAATAGTTGTGTCAATTATTTGGCAGAGTTTGAGTTGGCAAGACTGTGTCCCCCTTCCATTCTCCTTTAACCAACCGCTACCGCTATCGCTCTTCGTGCATAAACAGACTCATTTACAGCGGGAGCGGGCCCGCTATCGCACCGCTCCCGCACTTGGTGCATAAACGGGGCCTAAGACCTAGGCCCGGGACCGATTTACTTTTCGCGATGACTTGAGTAATCTTTGTCCGATTGTGATGGAATTTGGTTTAAAGTTGTAAGGCGGGATAAACTTGAACGAGTTCGCGAACCAGCATGATTGGACCATGGGAATGGGATTATATAGGGTAAAAATTGGTTTTTCTCATTTTTGATCCTCAAAACACGAAACTTCCCAATGTCTCTCTAGACCTTTTTAAAGAGCTTAAGAAAACAAACAATTTAGTATATCAAAGTGTTTTTGTACGCTTATTTTTAACGGATAAAATTGAAAACATTTTAAATTTAAATTTCCTATGATTTTCTTAAGGAGAATATTGTAAAATATTGTAGTTTGCTTGTTTATGGATATATTTTGATAAAACTTGGCAAATTTATTTATTTTATACTAAACTATGAATATTTTACCAAAACACACTTTATTAGTTTCCTTGTAGCAGCATACCTAGGTACTCGTTAAAACTAATGTTATTTAAATAGATTTAATTGAAAATCAATTTAGACAGATGGAAATTCGCTAGTCGATAGGTATGCTGAGGCGAGGGTATTATTGATATTTAGGTTAAAATGCGCTCAGTTTGTGAACACTATAAATATAATCTTTACGACAATCTTTATCTATAACTAACCACTCAATTAAAGACGAAAACAGATTAAACGTTATCAAAGTATAATTGTGTACAGAAAGTACATCTTTAAAGAAACCAGTTTAATCGCTTAGGATAGCAATTTTAGTTTTATTTCATAAGATATGATTTTGTAAATAGTGACTAAAGTTACATTACAATTATTTTCACTATATTATACTATCATGTTAATGTTTCAGATATACAGTTATTCTACAAACCTATACTGATTAATTTGACAAAGCAAGAATTATCTAAAATTATTGATATCATCAATTATATAGAATTTATTTTAAATCTTATTTTACAATACTTTAGTTATAGACTCACGGACTTTAATCTATCAAGTATCAAATTAAGTATCAATATTTATATTAATTTTTATATATTTATTTAATTGCAAAGCTTGTCAGAAACAGAACACAACAGAAGAAACCCGAACTTAACAGCTAGCTCAAGTCAGGAGCAACGAACCACTATGACGAATTAAATACCACGTTGGGAGATTTAAAAATTAAATGGAAAGGAATGCGCGATAACGGGCATTTAAACCGCGATAAGCTATAAGCAGCGATAGGCAAGGTCGACATTTAAATGCCCGCCTCGCTGTGCTGTATCTCTGCTAGCGTCTGTGCAATTGAAGGCGTTGGCTACTCTCTGCGTACCAAATATCAGGAAATTCACGCTGCATGGTTAAAACTGAAAGCTTTCAATAATAGTTAAATATCCCCGCCGCAGCAAACCTGCAGACGGAGCGAATTTCCATTTACCTGGCTGAATTTATACCAAAATATTTCCTTAAAAGTGTCAGATTCATTTCCTATTTAAATAATATAAATTTTAATGAGTACTTAGGTTTGCTACTACAGGGACTGTAGTGAGGTGTGTTTCTTATTGAGACGTTGACAGCTTAATATGTAATAAATAAAATGCCAAAATTTGATGAAGATATATCCATAAATAAGCAAACTACAACAGTTTATAATAAATATGCTGTTGTAGTTTGCTTGGCGAGTATAAGAATAACATGGGAATTTTATATTAAATATCTTTTTAGTATCTCCGTTATCGTTAGGCATACAACAACGCTCCAATATACAAAATTATTTATTTTTTAAGCTCTACAAAATGGTTTGGAGATAAATTATAAAATTTTGTGTTTTTAGGGTCAAAAATGGGGAAAACCTATTTTTTACCCCATAAAACCCCCCATGAAACCCCGTTCCCATAGTCCAATCATGCTGGTTCGCGAACTCGTTCGAATAAATGTAGGTTTACACGTTGGTACGAAATTTCATAATAATCCGATAATTTTTGTTCGAGTTATCGCGCTAACGGACACACATATATATATATGTATATATGAATTTGAACGGAGGGTGCTTTTGGCCTCTGGGGACCTCAAAACGAAAAAGTAAATCGGTCTCAGCTCCAGGTCTTACCAAGTCATCATGTGGTCCACGAGACCCACGGTAATAGCATATTGTCTATATGGGAATTTCGTTAAAACAAATTTAGTTAACACAGCTAGAGTAGGATCCC